CCCCCCCCCCCCCCCCCACCTCTCTCTCCTTCCTTTCTCAATTTTTCACTTTCCCTTTTTCCATACCACTATTTTTCAACACTTCTCATCTCAATAAAGTTATTTTGAATCCTTGTTGTTAAAAAAATCAACAAACTTAAGCACTCAAAAAATTAGATCGAAAATGTATATGCAAAAATGTTAAGCTCGAAGAGTAAATTGACTAAATTCTCTTATTTTTTATATGAAAAATGAGTGTCAAATTTTTTAAATTTTTGATATTTTACACAAATATTAAAAATTAAGGAGTACATAATTAGCACTAGCATCCCAAAAATTAAACATTTTTAAACTACCTACATCCCAAAAACTTTGTTTCACTTCAGAAAATATACGATTTTTTATCATTTTTAAATGGTTTTATTTATATATTGGTACGGAAATAAAAAGTTTAAATCACATCGTTCAAAAGTACATCTATAGTTTTTTTTTAAAATAAGGCACGATAAGAATATTTAATTTTATCAAATTATTAATGAAAACTAGCCAATAGATGACCACTTTTTCCAAATGAATCAATGATCATGTCTTAAAATTAGTTGTTAATTGTTGGCTGTTTATGTTAGTTTTTACTATTGTCTAATAAAGTTAGCTATTTTAACTAACTAGTTGTGTTAGCCATTAAAGAAACACTCGAAAATATTTAACAAACATAGTTGTGCACAAGTAGCGGTTGGTAGAGAAAATTACCTTTAAGAACATGCTCATTTGTCCATTAATTTAATGTTTTTGATTATTTAAGATTTTTTAATTCGATAAAAACAAGCATTATCTCTTTTTGAATGAGTGTTGATCTTAGAAAATATTCCATTCGACCCAAATTAAACAAAATGTTTATTGTTCACAAGGTTAAATTTCATTTACTTTTATTACTTATTTTTGTTATTTATTTGATAAAATAATATAATCATGTCACATATTAATTTGAAAAACTTTTAATGTAATTTTTAATATATACACCGTATAAGTTTTATTTTTTAATTTAACCTCAATTTTCACATAAATTGAAAAAAGATAGTTTTGGGTATCCGTGATAATAACTTTCGGTTCCCATTATATTTTTTTTAAAATAAACTTTGAGTTACTTTAAATTATCCAAAAACTCACTACATATCTTTTTTAGGATAAACCTATTTGTACCCCAAATTTTTGTTCTTCATTTTATACACCGCAGGTTTGCACTGACATTTTGTGTTGGTGTAAAACTAATTTTTGTTAAAGCACTAACACTTTGTGTCCGTGTAAATTTTTGTTAACGCACCAACACTTGTGTCGGTGTAAACCATCAAAATATTTGTGTATAACTACGGTGTACAAATGGGGTAAAAAGTTTTGGGGGTAAGTGTAGCATGACTCATCTTTTAACCAAAAAAAACTTTTTAGTCCCAATTTTATGGCAATTGGACAAACCAAATGAACTGAGGTGGTCAAATAGCGAGTTTATTGCACCAGCTGATCATCAAACCATCTATACCCCGTATGGATAGCAGCGGCGGCGGCTCAGATACAACTCTTCCGATCCTTAGATTCAATCAAAATTCCTCCGATCAGAGAGAGATGACGATTATATTCTTCTAGTACTCCGGGGAGAGAAGCAGCAGCAGCAGCAGAAAAAAGCGTTGTAGGGTTTGGGGGTGGAGATTGAAGCAGAAGAAATGGGGGGTCGCACGAACAGCAGCGCGGCGGAGGGGGGCTCGGACGAGCAGCAGCGGCGGTCGGAGATCTACACGTACGAGGCACCGTGGCACATCTACGCCATGAATTGGAGCGTCCGCAAGGACAAGAAGTACCGCCTGGCCATCGCCAGCCTGCTCGAACAGTACCCCAACCGCGTCGAGATCGTTCAGCTGGACGACTCCAACGGCGAGATCCGCTCCGACCCGAGCCTCTCCTTCGACCACCCCTACCCTCCCACCAAGGCCATCTTCATCCCCGACAAGGAGTGCCAGAAGCCCGACCTCCTCGCCACTTCCAGCGATTACCTCCGGATCTGGCGGGTCGCCGACGACGGCTCCCGCGTGGAGCCCAAGAGCGTCCTCAACAACAACCGCAACAGCGACTTCTCCGGCCCTCTCACCTCCTTCGACTGGAACGACGCGGAGCCCAGGCGGATCGGGACCTCCAGCATAGACACCACCTGCACCATCTGGGACATCGAGAGGGAGACGGTGGACACCCAGCTGATCGCCCACGACAAGGAGGTGTACGACATCGCCTGGGGAGGGGTTGGGGTCTTCGCCTCGGTCTCTGCAGATGGCTCAGTCAGGGTGTTTGACCTCCGGGACAAGGAGCACTCCACCATCATATACGAGAGCTCAGAGCCGGAGACCCCGCTGGTGCGGCTGGGGTGGAACAAGCAGGACCCCAGGTACATGGCCACCATCATCATGGACAGCTCCAAGGTGGTGGTTCTCGACATCAGGTTCCCCACCCTGCCGGTGGTGGAGCTGCAGAGGCACCAGGCAGGTGTGAACGCGATAGCGTGGGCCCCCCACAGCTCCTGCCACATCTGCACCGCGGGGGACGACTCCCAGGCCCTGATATGGGACCTATCCTCCATGGGTCAGCAGCAGCCCATTGCCGGTGCAGAAGGGGGGTTGGATCCCATCCTTGCTTACACTGCCGGTGCCGAGATCGAACAGCTTCAGTGGTCTTCGTCGCAGCCTGATTGGGTTGCTATCGCCTTCGCCAACAAGCTTCAGATTCTCAGGGTGTGAGTCGCCAACAAGCTTGAAGAATCCATTCAAGCCGGTGGTGCTGGGAGATCTTTTCCATCTCACTAACTAGTCACAGACAGATTGATGTATGCAATTGATTTTTTTTGTTATGGTTTCCATTTAATCTGCCTGATTAGTCAGTTATAAAGAGAAAGAGAAATGTCGCACTTTTATCTATCTATCTAGACTCTCGAGTAGTTGTGCTTGGATCAGTTAGACAGACAGGAATTTTTGTACTCCAATATTAGACACTTGATGCTTGCTTGATCAAATTTGATCACTGCCACCCCTCCCTCCCTCCCTCCCACCACTGGTTTTTGCATCACATCAAGTAGTGTGATGGTCGTTCAATTTTTGCAAGTTATGAATCCTATCTTATTGTATGCTCTCTACTAAATTGATAAGATCCCATTGAAAGCCTGTCAAGTTTTTTGTTTTGGCCATTGTACTCTTAGGACTCACTCATTGAGAACCGTCCAGTACTTCAAAATGCCATACTCACAACCTAATAGGCACAACTGGTGTTCTACCGTTTTCCCATTACTTTCATCACAAAATGGTTTCAATTCACAATCACTGCAAACAGTGGGTTATACAGTTCTCCCCTGAGACCTCCTCCCCTTGCACACTCTTACAAACCTAACTATTTATACAACACCAATGATTTACAGGCAGAGCATAAAGAACGTGTTAAAATATAAAATCATGTCTTTTATCTTAATTCTCATCACAATGTACTGTGAGAGGATGCTGCAGCAGCAGCAGGTGACTGCGCCAGAGTCATCTCACCGTCATCACTGTCGTCCATGGAAAGTGTTCTCCAACCATGGCCGCCGCCGCCGCCCCTGAAAGGGAATAATTCATGTTGAGCTTGGTGGTCAAGGGCATTTCCTCGGAAACCCGATGTTATTTTGGACGACACCATGGGCATCACCAGCACTGAAGATGCATGAAGAGAATCGTCTCCAAATGCTCCTAATGTTACTGAGCATGCAGCAACCTATACAAAAACAACATTCTTTTTAATCTTTCTTTTTTTAATTGTTACAAATCAAATATAGCCATGAAAGTTGTCTCAAAAGTAGGGGTTGACACCACCCTGGTTGTTTACCCTATTCCCTGACCAAAACACTGTTAGAACCGGACCAGCCGATCCCGTTCCTGGTTCTTCGTGACATTACCTTTAAAAATGCAGTCCAAAACTTTTGGAAATTGGACCGATACCCATATCGAAGCGTGCCCAGCCCTTCTCAACTGGAGAAAAGAATTAAGTACAAGGAGTATATACAGACCTTTGCTGTGACAAGCAGATCTATAGCTTTGATCAGCATAACACGTAAAAATGATTTCACGCCCTTAATTTGAGGATCTTCCAGAGGCATAATTAGCCTGTCACGTTGCACATCTTTACCAAATAAGGAATTGTTCAAAGATTACATATGTCCCAATCCAAAGAAATGTAGAGGAGGATTGACTTACCTCTCCGAATCGTTTGAAAGACTTGAAGCTGAAACAAAAGAGCTATCCTTGGTGGTTTCAGTTCCTGAAAAAAAGTTTACAACAGAGGTAGTCTTTCTTTCATGATCATGCATCGAAACTTTATATGATGGTAAAACTTCACTGAACTATTGACAAACCTTTGGATTCATCTGGGGCAAGCAAAGACATGCCTATGAAAACACAAATCATACCGAGAACAAACATTGTCGTCCGTGTAGCATCAAACACCTGCTTTAATATCCCCCACCTAATCAGTATCCAAATCAACCATCCCATCCTAACTTAAAGGTGATGATTATGCAAAATATTTTCATTGAAAACATAATTACTTTGTCCATCCCAGATTATTCATCCCATTTTTTTAGCCATCCCAGGGTATTCATCCACTTTCCTTTTAAGGCAAATAAAAATAACATGAAAAGTCTATTATGCCCTCACCTATTATGCCCTCACCAAACTCATCTCATAGACTCATACCTTCCTTTTTCACTAATTTCTTTACTCACGTGCCATCTTCACATGTGTTATTCACAATGCCCATCTCAAACCCAATATCTAAGATGGGTTGTGGTTGTGATGTCTTCTCTGGTGAATTCACCTCTTTCATCCCAGAAACCGAGCTTGAAGACAATGATCCTAACAAAATCCCCTCTGGTGAAGATGGTGCGACGGTCTCCGCCCCAACGATGAGTCACCCTTTGCTGCCAGTGATGGAATCTTCTCCCTCTCGGACACCGAAGAACATCCTTACGACAGAGATCTATACGTCGGAATGTGGAGAATAAAGTCATGACTGTTCCTGACTCCCAAGATCCGCACGAGTATGGAGGACGGATACAATCTAATTATTCTTAACTCCAAAGATAAAGATGAGCACAGTGCTAAAATTCTTTCTGACGCCAAAGATTTGGAGGAACTAACTGTGAGGGCCCTAAATGTGAGAGAGAATGGAACTAACTGATGAATTGTCCTTCCAATCTGTGAGAGAAACTTGAAATAAAAGTGAGGACCCTTTTAGGCATACCCTTTTATGTGCTCATGTTTATGCATGTTTAGCAGTGACTCTTCTATGTTCTCTGTTTTTGGTATATGGTGAAGGTGAGTTTTGAATATGGTCTATCATTCTTGTTTCCATGTGCTTCTGTTACTGGTCTATGATGAAGTTGCGTAGTGTAACCCCCATTTTGTGGTCTAGGTTTATCACATACATTGAATTGTCACTCCATTTACGAATGTTGAAGTACAAAACTTAAATGAGCTTAGCAAGGCAGTGTTTTCTCCCCGCTTATGATAACTTCCACACCTTAAATGTTTCACACAGTAATCCATAAAAATACTGCCACTTGTTAATTTGTTCACTATTGGTGAGCGCAAAACCATCAATGTGGCATACATACATTCCGTGAGATACTACACTTGAATTGTGATCAATCTGGCACAACACCTCTGCTTGGCTTCCCTTTCTTTATGCGTTCATGAAGGATTTGGATGATGTTAGCTCTATTTTCATCCGACAATTTGTGTGTGTTTGTAGTTCTTTGATTTTGTGTTTCTGTTCCAGGTTGGGTGGATGAAGAAGACAATCTTGAAACAGACATGGTGGAAGGAGTAGCAGAGAAGATGATAGTGAAGATAGTTGAGTATCAGAAGATAGTTTTTATAGAGTTCTGCCGTGAAAAAATTAGGGGAATAGTTTCCACTTTTAGAAAAGTTAAGTCGCCAATTTTGGCAATAGCTGCGAATGGTCATTGTACTATACACTTTAATATCGACTCAAAATGTACTAAGCACATGAGCATTTCAATAAAGTTTGGGTTTCATTTTTTAAAATCAAACCGTGCAAGTAAGGGTGTCCACCAAAGGTAAGTGTAATTGTACCATGTCCTCCCCTTTATTCTCCCCACCTTGTTTTTGTGCTAAAAAGAAACCAGGCAAACACTCCAGGATGGAGGGAGTACTAAATTGGGTTTAATTCAAACCTAACCAAAAGAATCTCAAGAAGTAAGATTTCATTAGCACTTATATACTAGTCTCAAACCTAGTAAACAATCACACTTGTATACTAGCCTCAAACCCAGTACACAATAGATGTGGGATATTCAACAATAACAATACATAATCACGAGAGAGAGAGAGAGAGAGAGAGAACCTGATATTCCTGGAAATACACAAATCCTGTACAAATGGAAAAGAAGGTCCAAGCAATCTGAAACATAGGGACGATGAGTATTGCATCAAATTGAGGAAGTCCTTCATTTAACCTAGCCATCTGAAGTCAAATTATTTAAACAAATAAACTTAACAAGTTAATAATAGAGACTCGTGTATACAACCTTTTGGTAATGACTTATTGAGCAAAGGAATAAATGTTACCCAAAACCCTGCTGTACTAAGAAATAGCAGAAGCGTCGAGTATGTAAACCAACTGTGTAATATATAGCTGTTTGAAATGGACAACCTTAGCAGGTTTGAGCTGCAAACACAAGCAAATGTGCCGTTCAAGCTAATTTTGAATTCTGATTTTTCCGCATCAAGAAGAGATGATGGGAAGTTTGGGTAAACTTACAGTGATTTTGCAAACAATACAGAAAATGACCCAACACTGCCTGACACAACTGCATATGAAAATGGAAGCAGAATTTGCCAATAAGGCTTCAGGTCATTACCAGGGACATTCAACAACTGATCTCCTCTCCTTACAATACAAAATTAGGTTTCCCCATTTAGTATGACATGGAATATTAATACTTATTATTATTTGAGTACCCAAAAATGATGTTAACAAGACCAATCTACCAGTTCCCTTACCTGTACACAGAATGATGTAAAGCAACTACTAGAACCAAAACCAAACAGTACAGAAGAAATGTGATGTTGCTATACTTCTCCGCCAGCTGGTCTGGTGTGTAAACTGCAAACAGTGCAAAAATCAAATGTACTCACCAATCATCCGCGCTACAAAATGAGAATTTACCCCCAAAAAATAAACTAATAGAAAATGCGAGTAAATTACTAATTTAACACTTATGCCGCCCCGCAATAAAATTCACAGATTTACTTTTGGGGTAAAATTTATAAACTTTGACCTTGATTGCAACTTATAAGTGATATAATAAGGGATGTTAATGGTCAAAGGGATGTTAATGACGGTAAAAGTCAAATGGTAAAGTTAATTGTGGGAGGGAGTGGGTATTAATTATTTTCACTTCACAAACTCAACAATTTTAAGGCCATAATTTTGATTCAAAATTTATGTTGCTCAGAAAATCATGAATTATAGTTATACTCACTCCCTCTCCCAAACAAATTGACACTTTGGACTTCATATGGGTTTAAGAAAGGTGTTGAAAAATGAAAAGCGTGTGGGCAAAATGAAAGACTATAGTATATTTTGGGACGGTGGGAGTATATGACTATACAACTATTTGGAACCTATATGAGAATAAAACCAGAATTTATCCACATTTTAATAGTTACTCCCTTTATCTCAGGCAAAATTTTAAACTTGTGGTTGACATTATGTATTTACTATAATTCTTTCTAAGTAAATCTCAAGTAAAAATATTCATTTTCTTAAATAGCGGGAAGATTAAATAGGAACGCAGGGAGCACTTTATAATACAGCTTCATATATGTTCTAAATAAATAATGCGGAGTAACTTATAAATTACCCATTGGACACGTTCACAAATCTATGTCTTTGGTTTTTATGCATCGAGACCACTAATTAGTTTGTTTTTTAGGCTTGTGAAATGAAGCTCGAGAGTCAACATCAAGCATTATTATAGTACACGTGAATGACACTTCTATACAATTTTGTTGTGTGTGTGTGAGGGTGGGGAAGTTGTGGGGATTGGTATACCAAAATTGGTGAGGAATTAGTTGGTACTTCGTTTCATGACTTTCATCTATGGGAGATTCTATGGTGCCCACAAGGTTTACACCAACTTTGGCAACTGCCTTTGTTTTTGTTCTCGCAGACATAAGCTTACAAACATGACATGTCTGTGACATAATTCTTAGAAAACACAATAGTTGTCGAATTGGTGTCAACCTTGGGGCAATCAAAGTTTTTCGTTCATCTATGACAAATGCTTAATGGTTGCTGTTGCTCAATCATTAAATCCAACATTTTCAACTGAGGAAAGTAAAAAATTTATGCATTCAATGATTAGGATAAATTAAACTTTTTGGTGAAATGGCAACATGATATCAAACATCTCCGTTTGATGAGTTTTGGAGGTATGATATGATATGGGTTTGAAATCTAAAATGAAATTGTTTGGAGAGATTTGAAATCATGATTTAATTAGTCATATGTGGGGGTGGCCTGCAATGGGGGGGGGGGTTGGCGGTGACAATCGACTATTGAAGGAGACATCAAACCCTCCACCCCACCCCCCCAAAAGAACCTCATATCAGTACTATCTCCCAAATTCGGGAGATATCAAAACCCTCCAACTCAAGGGTACAAATCCGAATTCTTTTTATGCTTCACCAAACACCAAAAAAGGATTCTGATTATTTATTGCACCCCTATAATGATGGCATACAAGAAAATGATTCAGAACTATGAATCCATATGGAGGAAAACATAAGGATTAGAGGGCCAATGTATATGCAGAATAACATACCAGGTGACTGGTGGTTGCCAAAAGCAACAAGAAAGACATTTCCAAGCACAATAAAAGTTGTGGCCACCATTACTCTGTATTTAAAATAGTATTCAGCACAATGGAACACTCAAAGAATTGTGAATCCTATGAAAATAGGACTAGACCAATAATATTCTATCATCGGTGCCTAACTGCCTGTATAAGATGTATGTTGCAAAAGTTCAAGTCTATTAACTTACTTGATGGTCACTCTTTTGTTAAATACAAAGGATGCAAAGGCAACATTAGAGACAAATTGTATAGATCCAAGCGCTGCAAGAAGTGACTGCACTATAAAAAAATATGCAATTATTTTTATTTGATGGAAGGTGAAATCCAACTAAACTAAACAAAGGTGCTAAATTTTCAGCTCAAATCAGTCTCGTGAAATGGAAATAACCTATTTGAAGACTATTATCAATATTTCCTCATAAGAAGATTGACATAAATGAAGGTATTGAACAAAATACATCACCACTGTGCTTTCTCTTTGGCATGCACGGGTAGTGCTAACTAATTTTGGACAACTAATTGACACGACAAATCTCATTTCACATACTCCAATTCATTGAGATTAAGGTTTTGATAATGATTGTGGAGATTAACCTGAGCAGCAAACCCAAATGAAATGAAATTAAGACAGTTCCCAAGAGCAAATAAAAGGATGCCTGGATCATAGGGTCAGAATTAGACATGATGATATATAGAAGTAATTTAGAAACACTAAAAACCAAAGGTTAAAGACATACCGAGTCTCCAAGCTCGGAAATGTACTATGGGTTTCATTGTAACCTTCCCATTTGCTCCACCATTGTTTAACGTGGAATGCTTTATTCTCTGCAAAAAATTAATTCCTCATTACAGCTTGCGTGGTCTATGGCTTGGTCAAAACAAAATGGATGAAATAACCACACGGTCGCTCATCACAGCTGGCATGGTTTGTTACTCGGTTACAATAAAATGGATGAAATAAGACATGGAAAGGAAAACGATGACATAATGCAGACACATCAATAAAACATCGAAGTCCTTTCGGCCACACAAAAGGGAAGAGTATGAGGTACATTGTCGTGTGTGTTGTAGGATCCGGATGGGCACTCTTAACCTTACAAAATTTAGACAGGTTACAGGTTGATGCTCATGCTCTAAATTGAAAAAATGTAACATGATGGGCTCACTGTAAATTCAGGTAAGACAAAGTAAAAGGAATTACATCATCGTGACCCAATTTAATAAGGTTGGTTCCAAAGTTGATGATAACGCTACCCAAAAGATTTATGCAGGCTCCAATAATCCACTCTCCCATAAGGTTGATTGCAATAACCAATCAAAGCTCAATGGCATACATCAAAACTGTTGTAGAGTCTTCTTGGAAGGATCATGGATTCATGGCCGTACTACAGAGACCAACTAATAATAAGTAACCCCATCCAAAACTCTCCTTGCTGAACAAAAGGTCTGCAAATACATAGGAATAAGGATGGTTAATTAACCTCCAATGCATATTGCATGAACCCATGGATCTTGGCAGGCAAAAAAGTAAATGTTGGGTGCAAATGGCGATTCATCATATATCGGGCGCAATCAAATTACATGCTAGAAATTGAGGAATAAAATTAAGCGCCCTAAAAGAGCAGAATGGATGGAGAAATTAGGCGAGATGTTGCCAAAAATTAAAACAAAAGCAGGCACAAATAACTACGTAGAATTCTTCAGGCACAAACTTTGGCAATTTAGATACCCACGCAAAGTATGGTTTTTTAGACCTACATATATATACATAGACAATCAGTAATCGCAGTCAATCGTGAAGCAAAGGAGAAGAACGAGAAGCTCTACATTCGGCTGACGTAACACGTGAATTGGTAAAGCGTACAAAGTTTGCTCATGGGATGGCCACAGCTTCTGCTTCTATATAACTCAAACCCAAATCTGGGAGGAAATCGAAATCGAGACAATGAATTAAGATGTGTTTTTGGGATTTCAATTTTCAAGAATGAACATATCTCGCCTTCGCCGTCTTCATCTTCTTCTTCTTAAATCTTCAGCTTTGAATCTTTGACTTCAGAAATCGGAATGCCTGCCTAGTCTTTTATTGGTCAATGCCAGGTGTACCAGATACCTTATTTGTACCCGACAGAGACTTAGGGAGTGTTTGTTTTTTCTGCAGGAAAAGGTCTGCAGTCTGCGGACCACTACTATAGACATCTGCAGGAGAAGTGGTGGACCGAAGGTCTGCGGTCTGCAAGAAGAAGACTGTTTGTTTTTTAATGTCTGTAGATTGCTATATAAATTAATGGTAGTAGTGTACAGTGGTGGTGTATGGACGATTGTGGTGGTGGTGGAGGGTGGTGGTGGACGTTGACGGCGGTGGTGGTGGATGGTGGTGGTGGTGGCAGTGGATGGTGGCGGTGGTGGTGGACGACGATGGTGATGGACGGTGACGGTGATGGTGGACGGTGGTAGTGGTGGACAGTGGCGGTGGACGGTTGTGGTGGTGAAGAGAAGTAGAAAAAAAGGAGATGTTAGAAGATGTTAGAAGACATTAGTTAATGTATTCTCCAAGAAGATGCCAGGAAGACCTTTTTGAGTGAAATGTCTTCCAAAAAACAAACAATCTACAGAGCCCATCATCTGCGCGCGTCTGCGCGGGGCAGATAAAAGACGCCAGAAGGTCTTTCTGGCAGAAAAACAAACACCCCCTTAGAGAGTCTCTAGCTATAAATAGATTCAACCATGCTATACTTACACACACAAAAAAAGTATACTTCAAAGTTACACCAAATGTATACACTAACGTTTTAATGGTTCACACTGACTAAAAATGCTACTCTGTAGTACTTTGACAAAAATTTCAGTAACATTTTGTGTCTGTGTAAACCATCATCCTAACATTACATCGATACAAAATATAGATGCACACCTGAGACGTACAATTTGAGATAGAAATCTTGGGGTACAAATAGCTTAATCCAAATAGATTACCACATTTTGGATACAGCTAAGTTAATTTTTTTTCGTACATGAATAAATGAACTTAACACGGAGTACTTTAGCTCCACCTCGCAAGTTTTTAAAGTGTATGCCATCTCTCATTTTCTATACAAACACTTCATAAACTAGTTTTATCTTTAGATTATACAAATTAATATTTATATCGTCCAAACAAGAATTATTTATTTCCCATATATTTCATTTATAAAATACAAAAATAAAATGGTACAAATATGATTTACAACTATAGTATCTGTTAGAGTTAATTGCTTCGGGTATTCTACCCAAAATATTAAGGATTTGTTTTTGGGTCTGGGGAAGAATTTGAAGAGCATATAAATAAGGATTTTTTCGTAGAACCCGAAGCCGGGAGAAAACCACAGATCCTTTTCGACCAAGGCAAGCCAAAATGTGCTTTACTGATACATTATTTGGTGTTACAAAGGCATCATCAAAAATATATTACTCATTCGATTTATACCAAGGCCAATAGGGTTTGGCAAACCCTATTGGGCTATTACATGGGTCATGAAGTGGTCTCAATAATCACTTTCTCCAGCTCTTTAGTCGGGCTCGGAGTCTGTCCATTGCTCTGGTCCATATGCTCTCCGGGCTCGGGACATGGTACTTTGGCAGGACATGGCACTCTGGTCAAGGTGCCACTCTTAATGTGAAGCCCAACAAGTATCAATTAGTTCTATTCGTCTTTCTCTTAATGTGAAGCCCTACAGGAAAAGTGATCTCGTCAACCACAACGATAGTGTGTTGTCGGTCTGCGGTTGGTTAGAGTGCAAGACCAATCATGTGTGCAACTCTTTCAAAAGTGGTGAAGGCGACAAATGACTGCTTGGAGTTCAGCTAACATTTGGTGGGCAATTTCTACCAGTTTGACGACCTAAGTAGCGGGTTAAGCAGCAGAAAAATTCCATAAAGCATTAAGTAGCAGAAGAGGAACCAGAAAAGCTTTTAAAAGTCACAATCTCATTACCATTTACCCAAAGGAAAAGAATTTGACATGCGGTCTAAAGTTCCGTTTCACATGATAAAAAAGTGCAAGGAGAGTGCAAATGATTGAAATTACCACTGGAGTTGAAGCAAATGAGAGTACAAATAATGGTGAATCCACCATAAAATACTGGGATAACCAGCCCAAGAACCCACGAGCTCAAATCATCACAAAACTTCATTAAAAGGGCCAAGGAAGCACCAAAATCACAATGGGGTCCGGCAACGAAAAGCCAGCAACACTTTACCTCCGAAAATGTTTCAATATTTGTACTACTGGCTAATGAATGTGAATACCCAATTAAATCTAATCCATGAGATGAGCATTAAAGCTCATTTTGTTTTTGTTAGATGCTCTGGGAAGGAAGGAAGTAGCTCACAAACATGCTAGAGCAGCCTGTTCCCATGCAAACTGAGCATTGGAAGTGGATTAGTACTCCACCCACAATGTAACCTGTATGACTTACATAATTTGAAATCTAGTCTTATTGACATGCACAAATGATACTCGAATATATGCTTTACATAAAGTACCAAGGCGAGCAGAGAAAGGTTTGAAAACATTAAGCATGCATAGCTCTATCTTCATGAAAATTTAAAACAAAATCAGGTGAAATCCCTAAAGATTGCACTTCAACAGAATATAAAACACAGTATCTCATACATCTAGTGGCAATGAGGTTGGACAGTCGAGTTATCATCCTGATATGACATTTTACCCAAATATATCAGGGCTTCATATATCTGTAATACGGATTTGACTGCAGATGAACAAAGATGGAGATGAAATAGAAGGCTTAGGGGATGTGAAAATAAAAACATCATCCATCATAAGTACTCTGTCTACTAAGAATGCAGTAGCAACAGCTGGGTGCCTATTTCTGTTTTGATATTAAAAAAACAAAAATTAAGAGTACAACAAGTAAATCAGTCTGAATTAAGCCTGCGTTCCAGTTAAGGCCTTCATCTGAATGTGATTCGGAGCGACGGGGTTTGCAGAAGTAGGTAAGGCCTCATAGGAGCCAAGACGCCTTCCTATTGTGCCAGCAGAAATGGCGTAAACGATCATCACAATGAGCAGCACCAGAAAGACGTGAATGACAAAGACAAAATCAAGGAGTGCAACAGCCCTGAGCTTGGAGTCCTCCAACTCACACTTGGTAGAGCCCTCCACACCGCTGACGACATCCAACAGCTTGTGGCAGCCTTCCGGGATAAAGGCGTCAACATACAGGGAGAGACCAGTTTGGAATATCCAGAGGCCCTGAAGGCAAATGGAAGCAGCAAGGAGAAGTTCAGCCACAAAGAGCCTGGGATTGCAGGCAATGACGAGGGAGAGGATGGAGGAGAGGGCAAAAACGCGGGCAGAAACAGAATCGCATTCGGCCTGCAGGTCAGAAGTTTGGTAGGAGGAGGAGGAGGATGACGAATAGAAGCAGAGATAGAAGAGAGCAGAGGCGAGGGCAAAGAAGATGTCATCATGGGGTTCGGAGACGAGGAGAGGGAAGAGGGAGAGGAGAAGAAAGCAAAGAAGGATGGCGGCAGACTGGAGGGAGGAGAATCTGTGGACAGGGGTGTGGCCCTTGAGGAGGGGGTCTGAATCAAAGGAGACGATTGCTTGGTGGGCAGAGGCAATGAAGAGGGAGAGGATGGTGAGGTAGAGGGGGAGGCGGCGAAGGCGGGGGAACGACAAGGGGAAGTTGGAAAGGTGGTGCAAGGGTTTGGCTGAGTATTCGCGTGGGGACTTGAGGTGGGTCCGGGTGGCGGAGATGAGGTGGTAGAGACCCAGAGTGAAGACTCCTGAGGAGGTGAACATGTGGTATATGAAGCTTCCCATTTCTTCCCCTTTCTCCTCTTACTTGCTCAATTAATCTTCTTGCTGCTTAACACAACTGCTAGGGCACCCGCACAAACAATCACGCGGAATACAAATGAAAAATATGATGGTTAGTGCCAAATACAGTAATTGATGAAGAAAAAACTCAGAACAGATCGCATACGAAACTGAGATTGCAGAAAATCGTTGAAGAAGAAGATGAAGAAACAACACATACCCTTAGCCGAGGTTAGACAGAATGGCGTTAGAATCCGAAACCCTAAATCCGAAATCGAAATCGAGAGAATCGGCGTTTGCGGATCTTCGCTAGCTTTATTGGTCTTCTTTCCCCTTCCTTATTTCTTCATCAATTGAGAGGAAGCAATTGAATACTGTGGCCGGCGGAGATGGAGGCTTATGGCCGTGTCTTCATACTTCATACCCGAGTAGAATTGAAGAAAGAAAACAAAAACAATGGGTAAAAGCAACGGAAGAAAATGAAAAGGAAAATGCTAGGGCACCAAAGTATACCTCAAACATCCCACTCCCTCCATCACCCTAAAAAAAGACAAAAAATATTCAAAAAAAAATTAAAAATAAAAACAAAATAAAATGAATGGTAGAAAAGGGAGTGGTGTACATTTGGGGTACACATTTGGTGTACCCCTAGCATATCCCAAATGAAAAAGGATAGGGGGCTTGTTTTCTAGTTTCAACAACAAAAAAATTAGTTAAATTTGCACTAAATAGGACTAAAACATAATGACTTTTCTAATGTAGGATTTAAACTTTTTTATTCCCTAAATAGTACTTAATAATGACCTAGTGGGAGGAATAATGACTAGTAATGATGGACATTTAGTTGAATAATGACTACTTGATAATGACCAAAAGTCCTACATTGGGAAATAAAAACATATGGTCCTATATTGGGAAAATCATTATGTTTTAGTCCTATTTAGTAAATTTCTCAAAAAATTATTGAACAAATTTTCAAGATTTTTTTAAGAGCAATTTTCAAGATTTTTTTACTTCATGAAGTGCAAAGAGTGACCTCCCATAAGGTTATTGGCAAAAAAAGGTCACTCCCATAAAAAAAAAAATTACTCCTATATTTTATTTATTGTATGACTTCATTATAGAATATGTTCTTGCGACCAATGGAGTAAATAACTTTAAATACTCCATACGAATTTATTTTGAAGATTTAGTTTTATTGATTAAAATTTATAAATTTTGACCAAATTTAACAAGTGAAATTAATTATACTCCTACTTTAAAATCTAATGTTACTATATCATATCTTTATGTTGAGTCATATTTAACCATGTACAAATATAGAGAAGTTTTCTTAGTCTTAAATATTCAAATAATAATTTAAAAATTAATAGAGTTCTATAAAAAAAATAGAAAAATGGACATATCAGTAAGACAAAACAAGACTTCTAAACAACTGGTTCATAAGACTAGCTAGCCAGACTAACTGGTTCTTAAGAGATTAAGAACAGGCCAAAGGTTGGAAAACCAAGAAGAAGAAAATCCTTATTATCAACCCAAAAAGGGAAGCATTATGTATCACACACATTACAATAACAAGATTGGGCAATGTTACAAACCAAGGTGTAGGGTAGTACAATCAACAAAACCATCAACTTCTACCACTAATACATACCGAGTATTGAAAAAAGAAAACGTGTACCAAGCGCCAAAGCTCCCACAGAATGGAAAGAAGGGCATAATCTAAACCACCCATTGCTTTTTGCAAGAAGGTGATTCTAACCCCCCCCCCNTGCACTGCATCAGTTGAGTATCAGGCCTGCCCTTCACTCCACCACCAATCGTAGAGTAGGAACCTAAAGATAAACATAGCCAATTCTTGCAAGAATCAAAACGTAATTCCCCAAGAGGCGGCATGTACATTCGACCACCCTCATGTAGTTGTTCCAGAATCAAAAGCATGCTTTTTCCCGGGCTTGACTCCTGTGCCAAGAATCTTATGTAGTTATAAATGAATAATGTACTATAGAAGTCTAAGATGTGAGATATCATTTAGTCTCTTTATCTGCCATCCCCTTTTCCATGAATGTTGTAACACGGTTACTGAGGAATCGTCTACACAGATCTTACTTGACATCATCGCACTGCACCCAAGAATCCCGGTGAGAAGACACTTGATAGGGATCCCATGGGTGAAGATGCCCACACAGGAAGAGACTGAATGGGCACTCTTGGTATTTATGTCGCGAACTGGGGCGGTGTTGACCTGTACACGAGGGGACATCTCGTCATCAGCCTGATCTCCTGTTGAAGCAACAATCTGGAGCCTACTTTTGACTGACTTCTTCTTTCCGTGCCCTTGTCGCTGCTGCCGGTGGAGCAAATCTAAATGCTGAACAGAGTTTGTAAGGGGAGGGATATGAGTTGAGAAATCATGGGTGTCGATCTGATCTGGTGGAGAGAAATCAGAACTGAACTTTTCAGGCAATGCCATAACAGCCCCGTTTAGGAACTGCACCATCCTATATTCAACCTGCCTTAATGATTCTCCTGATGGTGGGGAAAAATCCGGTTGGAACCGTTCCATTAGGCTGGTTGTTTCAGGTGTAAATATCTCGGATCGATGGCATCCTTCCCAGTGTCCTTGACTCATTTCTAGAAGTGCATCAGAAGATTGTATCTCTTCCACTGGAAATTTCAGTTCCTGCATGATTTGAAGCATGGTCAGTTGTCAATAAAGACTGAAGACAAAAGGAATGTCTTGTACCATACTATGTCAATAGAGAAATTGTTTAAAATATCCTAGAGATAGCACATAAGCATTGTTTACATGAACGAATGACAAACTCATATGGAATATTTGACATTTTATACTTATTTCTTAGAAATGAGATCTTTTAGAAAGTGGACAACTAATTCCGGACGGAGGGAGTGTAAAGAAAGCAAGTTGTTGTCAGTAGTCAGTACAAAGTGGAAACTAAAGATATGATGCTTTAAGCTAAGAACTTATCTCCAATTATAAGTTGGCCAAGAAAAGCTTCCATGAAGCAAAATCAAGTGAACAGACCAAGTGCCTTTAAATGAATTATTTCCATTATCATCAGACCTTAGTGTTGTGAAAATTCACTCTTCACTGTCAATTTAATCATAACACTACCATGACTACTGTGATAGTACCAAACCCAGTCCTCTGTTAGATATTCCGTCAAAGATCAGTTATTTTCAAGGGCTAAAATTGTAAAATGTAATCTCATTGCTGAGACTTCTTAGCAAAGCCTGGTGAATAGTGATGTGAACAGATGTGCAGGTTTAGGTTCAGGAAAAGTTTCATCAGCTGTATATCCACCCATCAATACATAAACCCAATTGTTATTCTGTCTGTCAAACTTCATACTACGTAATAACCAATGTATAAATACATTGTCTCTGTGTATGTCTAAGATTTTATCCAGCCAAAGCAGACTCATGTCAACTACATCATTGGAAAATACACACTGTGAAGAAAGAATTCAAACATCATGAAACTACTTACGAAGTATATGGTTTTGCATATCCAAGTAGAGAGGGTCATGAAATTCGGAAGTAAAAGAGAATGGTTATATTAATAAAACACAAGCATTTCAGGAGATTGCATACTTGCATGAACCCAGCCAGCATGAATGAGAGCCACACTTGGGGTATGACACAACTCATATCATCACCACAAGCTTCCATTCATCAAACTAAAGTGTGAACAAGGCAATGTATTGAGGGGGAGGAGTTTACCTGGCATACGGAAGCAGCAGTTGCACGGGCACGGTCGAGAGGCGAGGTATATACTGAAGTGAAGCGAACGCCTTGTGATTTGAGGAAAACCGCCAGAGCTCTGGATTGGCGCTTCCCCTTTGGGGTGAGGGCGGCATCCGGGCACCTGCCCCCGATCAAATCAGGCCTCAGATTCATGTGGCACTCGGCGTTGCAGATCAGGAAAAGCTCCGTCAGGAATCTGTCGTCGTCGCCCGCTGCTGCTGCTGCTGCGGAGCGGGTAAAATCAGTGGGCGGTGGAGCGAGGACATTGAAAGGGTCCCACACTTTGATGGAGGGGCCCAGCCGCGGGGTGCCGAAAGCGGATGGCTGCGGGGAGAGAGGAGATGCGGAGGAATGGCAGGGCAGCATCTCCGGCTCTTGCCGGAGAACCTTCTTCGAGCCACCGACGCCCGAATCTCGCATCCCAGCCTCCGTGTCGTGGTGGGCGCCACCTTCCTCGGCGGCCTCTTCTCCTCGGCCATGTTCTTCTTCTTCTTCTTCGTCCTCTTCATCGTCGTGGTCGGAGGAGGAGGCAACATGCGCTGACTGTGAAGAACCCATTCAATCAAGCGACCTGGTTCGAGCTAGTGAGCGATTCAATACCTTGGGAATGGCAAATCAGAGGGCAGCGGCAATGCGGCAGGGAAGAATCCCCCAAGCTGTGCACAATCAACAAGATCTGATGATGATGATGGTCCGTTCCGTCCAGCGTGTAGTCTTTACTTTGTCCACCTGCAGAAGAAGGCCTTAAATTCCCCGGAGGCCAGAGAAGTTGTTTGGATGTTGTCCTAGGATGAACCCCACAGACCCCTCACACGTTAATTAAGCTATATAATCTCATTTTCTTAGTGTGACGGTGGAGTTCATAGTACTCCCCAAACTTCGCTCCAAATCTCACCTGGTAGCAATTACCTTTTCGCCAAAGTATAACACAACTTTCGACGGTCGTCATGAATTGAGAAACAGTCGCTCTATGTCTTACAAATAGTGGTTAGGCTGCGCACAATTAGCCTCCCTCATCGCATCCCACCATGTGCGGGAGCATTTAAGGCACTAGGGTAACATTTTTTTAAGTATAATGTTGATGATGTTTAGTTTCACTATTTTGAAAACGTTAATTTATATGTTGTGCATTTCAAAAAGATCTCTCTTTTATTATCTATATGATTAAATTATTTCTTTGTTTTCTTACTTCATTGCAAATTTGAAAAAAATATTTTAAAGAGAGTTGATTTGTCTTATACCTCAGAGTAGTAGTAGTAGTTAACTTGAACTATTAAAAAGTTATTCAAAGAGATAACCTTATTCATGATCGTTGTTTCCAAGCCAAGACTTGTGAACGAAAGAAAACAAGATCTTATGAAGGAAAATTGAACAACTCCAAATTAAAGTTGCTAGCCCTCTCAATACTACAGAACGAACACCTCCTAACTAATCGCAGTACAGCTATAGAGATTCATAGAAGAACAAACACAATTTCAGTTCAGTCAAACATTGTAGACTATTAACTTTTTGTCAATCTGGTATTTGTGTATGCTTAACACAGACCAGATCATCCAACTTATTGCCATCCATTTTGTACATGGACACGCCATCCATTTGAACAAAGTGTCTCCTTGCCTCTTCTCTCAGACTCTTGAAGGGCAAAACCTCCCATTTACTATACTTTGAACTCTTCCTCACATCTGTCATATCTGAAGATCCCGAAATTGGCCCGCTCCCATAAGGACCTGCATTGCCCCACACCTTACAGTTCACAAATTGTCCCGACTGGGCGGCCACTATATCATCTTCACTTCTTTTCAACCGCAGAGCGGCTTGATGAGCCCGGTTTATCATTTCCCGACTGGGAACATCTGACCAGTCTTGCTTCCTTTGTGATCTCATGGGAGAATGGATCCGTATGACCTTACAGTTCATAATATGTTAAACAAGCCATCTCTCAGATTTTTGGATGATACTGTATGTTAAACAAAAGTTCATAGTATTAATAAATTACAGTTCAAAGAAATGAAAAGGTCCATACGCCAAGACACTCCAACAGTTGGTAGTATGCCCTCCCTTGGAGTGGATTGTGCCCTTTCCTAGGTGTAGAAAAGTAACGAGTCCTAGAAAGAAAATAGAGTATCATTCACAAGCCATATAAAGGACCATTTTGTTAAAGATGACAAGAGATCAACCAAAGACTTCCAAAATTTACAAATTAAGACTTGAATCCTTAACACCACTTGAAACAACAAACCAGTATAATCCCAAAAGGTGAGGTCTATGGGGTGAATCTTAAACACCACTTCAGTTGCTAATTATCATTCATACCCAATATAATCCCAACTTCATTGGAATATAAGGGACCAAGATGTACGCAACCTTACCCCTTATTGATGCATTGATGCAACTACTACCCAAAACTTAATGTAGTAGAATGTAAGAAGCAAGTAATATTAATGTGTCATTTCAATATAGTCCATTATTTACCAATTACCATTCCATATAACATGCAATGATAATGATGAAAATATGAGGTGTTAGACCAAATTGGACAAATACTGATATAGCTTCCAAGTAAGAAGGTCAAAAACTAAGATCTGTTCTACATCAATAATATTCTTTTTTTTATCAGAACTTACCATTCTGTATACCCGGGATCAACTGTGAAACCATACATGTCAACAATGTCACACATGGAAAGTGCTAGTTCTATTGATTTCATTCCAGTTCCTTTAGCACCTCTGCGTAAGACAATCCCTTGAAAAAGGTAAACTGGATTTGGTATGCGCTGTCAAAAAGAAGGGAACTATCAAATTGGCATTTGTTTGAATTGGCTTACAAATAAACCACAGTATACATAATGAAATAAAGGAGATAGATTAACATAGAGTGTACAACAACAAACAACCAAGTCCTAGTAAAATCCCACATAGTGGGGATAAAGTGTAGATCCAAGGAAAAATTATACCTTTATCATTGCATTGAAGTCTCTGTGGGTAACACTTTTAATTATAAGCACCTCATCATCTGCAAGGAGTCAAAAGAGAAGAATGTCCAAGATTATCAATAAAATTATCACTATATAAAAAGCAAGCATTAAAAAAACTAAGTTTCATAAGAATAGCACATGCATGATTACTTCAGAGTCATTGATATTAATTTAGATTCAAGTATAAGAAAAATCAGTTTGAAACTCTGAATAAACTAATAAAATAGTCATTTTGAGGGTATGGTGAAGCTGATCATGATACTTTACATGCATTTCATATAGGGCGATTAATATTAAGAGTCATTCATGAGTGAGCTAGATTTGATAAAAGCCTGATCAAGCTCATTTAAGAAAAAATGAGGATCTACCTTGGTTCCGGCTCGTTTGTTCCTAAACAACTCAAATCTGGCTCGACTATTTATTTGAACAACTCATATTTGGCTCGATTGTTTATTGCATAGCATGGAAAGGCAACTTATCTCCTTTGATTTTCTAATTAGTACTAGAAACTAATTCTTTCTTCCGATTTATTTGGGCTGCACTCTACGCCACAAATTGGACTATAGGAAAATGAAGATGCTAAAGGGAATTTTAGATTAGAAATTTGATTCATGACTGGATGTGTTCTTACCTCTTACCTAGGCATGTTAGTATGTTACTTTGACCAATGGCCTCTTCTGCTAGCATGAAAACACTAGACCGGAAGAACAGATTGTTGTTCATAATATTCAACGATGTTGCTTAAGGCTGCAACTATAAATCAATGATGATTGGATGTGTTCTACTTCTTCTACCGTTCTTACATCTTACCTAGGCATATTACTTTGACAAATGGCCTCTTTGGCTAGCATGAAAGCACTTGACCAAAATACAAAATTTTTTGTTCATAATTAATTGGTTGGTGTTTTGTGTGAAATGCTTTCATTTATTTATATTTGTACTCCATATGTAACATGAAAGTTTCAGGGTCATTCATTACTCTTGTTATTAAACATGTGGAAATGATAGACAGCAGGGTACTAGAGATTTGAATAAATGTAAAATCCTAAACATAACAACCTTTCAGTGAACTAAATTGAAAATATCATAACTAACTGCTAACCTGAACCATTAAGAATTGCAATCATGTTACGAGCAGCACCTCTCACAACCAAACGAAAATCCCGCTTCAGACCAACATACTTGGCATATTTCTGCAAGATATATGCAAACCAATAAAAACAAGCAAGGACAACACAACGGATTTGAAAATTTTTAATCTTGAGATAAATAAGGAACTATGAAAGCCATCTCCCAGTGCAAAGGATCCACACTCTTACATGGAAAGACAGATTAAATTTTTTTAAAAAATGTGATCCCTACTCCCTTGAGAAAATTATGGCTACATACTATGGGAAACGAAAAAAGAAATGCAGGTTGTACCTCATTAACAGGAGCCTCATTGTCTCTTATTACTGCATCATGACTATCAATTTCTGGTCCAAACTCTGTCTTCAAGAGGTCACCTGAATTCCCAACAACAGCACATGTCCCAAACTGTCGAGGGTGAAAAGGTGGCTGTGCAGGTAGAAGTATATTGAGATGCTCCTCACAAAGAGTCCGGTTGTAGCACTTGTCTGCCCCTCTACAATTAAATAATTGAAAGAATAGGCATTGCAAGGTGAATCAAGAGAAAGTAATGTAAGGGCTGCTCAAAATGGACTTGTAGCATACAACTGTGCTATCCTTTTTGCTGCATAGTCCAACCATCCATCAGGTCTTGCGTCCAGATATTCTCTTGTCAAAACAGTGGTCATGTTCCGATACTGCATTTGAACTTACCTCATGTTATTTTGTTCACTTTCGGATACATAATTGTGTTAGTGAGTGGTAGAAATGACTGAGACAAACCTGTTCCCATAGCAGGATAGCCTCGCAAACATTATACTTGTACTCCAGGGGTTCAAAAATCTTGAATTGCTCATTGTACTATATAAGTAAAGAAAGTTATAGATGTGGTTAAAGAGAGGTGCAGTTGAGATATCGTTTGTGAGCAGAAATGAATAAAGTAAGGCAAGAGACGTACCCATGTGCTGTTAGTTCCTTCAGGGAATTTGAGAATAATATTACAATGATCAACAATATGAGCTGTAAGCCCGAGCCCTCGATTTGCCTGGCATAAAAATCAGAGTCAGTCTACACATCAAATAACCTAATCTGCCAAAGGCAATCTCTGGCATGGACGCACTCTACCCCAAGTCCCATATTGATATTTTAAGAGAAAATCAACTAGGAAAGGTCATGGTGTAAAAAAAAATCAAGGGACAAGCATCCCAAGTGAGCTGTGAGAAAATTGGCTTCAAAGATGAATGCCTACTAAAGGTTCATCCAAAAAGAAAAGGACCCAATAATAGAACAGCATCCATTGTGAAAGTGGAAGAATGTTAAGCATCGATCTCTAAAGTGATTAACAATAAGATACAACAACTTCACAAAATTGATAGAAAGTAAGGGTGGATAACCACGCATTGCTGAAGATTGGACTGGAAATCAGATAAGATCAGGATTTCCTCTCGGTTGGGGCTCTTCAATCCGCGGTAACCTGCAGCAACAGCAGCAAAGAAAGTTACAATCGCATGTGAAGTGTAGACCAAATTAGGGCTGGCTTCAAAAATGTGAGGGGGGGGGGGGAGAGAGGA